CGCTTGTAGGTGCTCGCCTACACTGACGGTCGCCAGCACCTTTCGGGCCAAGTCAGAGAAAACAGTCCGTAGCTGTGTGCTGAGTCCTTCTGAGCTACAATCCGCTTGCAAGGGTTTAGGGGTTTGGGGGTATATGGTTTAAGGTCTCTGGGTGAGGGAGTGAAACTCTCCAGGTTTGAGGCTAGGGGGCCCAAACTAGGTAGGAGTTACATAGGAAAATATGTGGGGTTTGGGCTTTAGGGTTTAGGGTTTAGGGTTATAGGGTTTAGGGTTTAGGGTTTAGGGATATAGTTTTCTGGAAGGTTATCCGAATCATGGAGAATCAAATGGGAAAGAACAGCCCAATGATGGAGAGTCAAATGGGACATGATTTCACAGGCCCGCGAACATCTCTTGCTCACTTGTTGGGTCATAGTCTAAACCCCTAGCATCAGGCTTTATAACTCCTACAATATTCCTCTATATAATCTATAAGGAGTTTACGGCCTACGGGAATGCTCGGACCTAAGATGGAAAAGGAGATCAAACCTGGTATTGTAAAGTGGTTTGTACCATCTGGGGAGTTATGTTAAGGATTTTCGGGGGCAGTTTCGGTGGCCAAGCGTCACGCTGCAAACACAATACTTTAGCTTCACCCACATCCAACGTTCAAGCCTGTGCATCCTGCATTCGACAACCCTTCTAAACATCCTCGCGAGAAGGGGCCCATGATTTTCAGAAGCCGCGAACTCATCGCCAACTCCTCGAAACCTTGAACCCTACATGCTCAACCCTGAATCTCATGGCCCAAAAACCCTGCGCCCGACAGCCCGAAAACCACCAAAGCCCTAACTCCTAAACTCTAAACAGCAATTTTCATGTTCCTTGCCATCATCCCTATATAGTCTCTATTCTAATGTAGTGGTTTCCTGTTCCGTAAGCCCTATAGAACCCCATAAATCTACCCTAACATAAGATAGCAACTTCGAATCCTGCACGTCTGGTGGCGGAGTTGTAGCAAAGAGCCGGAGCGGCTGATTGAAGAGCTGGACCTAAGGCCATGGAGGTTTATAGTCCCCCTTAAGTAGAATGTAGGGGTTATTTAGGGCTTATGTTGGGGTTTTATTGGGATAATGGAAAAGAGAATGGAAACTACTATAATGGGTTTAGGGTTTTTAGTCCCCCTTAAATAGATAGAATATGGGGTATGTGGTGATCTTAGTATAATATACCGCAAAGCCATATTCTATCTACTTAAGGGGGACTATACTCCTAAGCGTCCTAAGCTTCAGAGTCAGAGAGGAGTCTACGCTGTACGGCTGAGATTTGAAGATGTAGATTTTAGCATTTTGGGTTGGTGCTTTTAGGGCTTCTGTAGGATTGTATAGGGTTGAAGCTTTGGGAAACACGCCCGAAAAAAGGAACTCATGGAGATCTCAGCAAGATGCAGAGGGGTGTGAGCCTTTGCCCTAAACCCTGCACCCTGGACCCTAGACAGCAGTTCCCCTTGCCTTTTCCGTTATCCCAGCATCACCCCGTTAGTATGCCCTGTTATAATACAGTGGTTTTCATTTCCTTGTCCACTCTCCCTCTAGAATCCCATAAATCTACCCTATTATACTGTGAGCCATAGTCTAAACTCTTAGTATCCCCCTTCATAATCCCGATATAGTAGTCCCCCATATAATCCCCTTCATACCCCCCGGAGTTTAGACTATAGCTCATATAACCCAGTATAACCTCTATGTAGATACCTACAGCCAGGCCCCAGGATGACGTAGGACTATAGAGGGTTGTATAAGCTATACGAGGTAATATAGGGATAATGGATTTAGAGTACAAGGGTTTATACAAGGTAATATAGGGATAATGAATTTAGGGTTTCAAGTTGAGGGCTTACACAGGGTAGTATAGGGATAATGGATTTAGGGTTTTGGGCTTATACAAGGTAATATGGGATAATGAATTTAGGGTTTCAAGTTGAGGGCTTATACAGGGTAGTATATGGATAATGATAATGGATTTAGGGTTTTGGGCTTATACAGGGTAATATAGGGACAATGGAAAAGACTGGAATGGAAATGGAAGCTACAATTCAGGGTTCGGAGTTCTGGGTTTACATGAGCTATAGTCTAAACTCCTAGTATCCCCTTTAATGTCCCGTAGAGTAGTCCTCTATAGAACCCGCCCTTTAAGGAGTTTAAACTCTAGCTCACCTAGGGCTTAGGGAGTAGAATCCCCAAGTCAAAGGAAAACCCAGCAAACATGGAATGGAAATTGAGATGCCATGAAGTAAGTTTAGATGGTTGAAGGGATTAGGGATTCATTCCTAAACCCTAAACCCTAAACTCTAAACCCTTAGGAAGTTTAGGGTTGCCATCTTGTTGGCTTCGGCGAGGGCTAAAGGTTTTGGGCTACTGGCTTCAGGTTCACTCGACATTGGGGTGAACATGAAGAGAAGGCATGCGGTCAATGCTGAATCTACGGTTGGAATCATCGGCCCCTGAATCCCTATATGTGTACTGTAAACCCTATGAACCCCTACCAACCAAATTAGGGGCCAATGAGAGGGACCCAGAAAACAGATAAGGCCAGCATTTGGACGTAGCGGCTGAAATGAGTCTCGTGGCTCGGCTGTACACGTGCAAATGATGCCGGACTGGCTACGTGCGACCTGTGCGCACGACTGGGCTCTGTACAGCAGCCTTCCTTTTCCAGGCATCTGCGCGAAAAAAAAAAAGTCTCTTTTCTGGCTGCCTATGGACAAGGCAGCTGCCTGCATGGCCTGTCCTTCACTGCGGAAGGCAACGAGCTCAACAGGCAGCGTCTGAAGAAGGTATGGCAAGGGATGCTCTGCAGCCAGCCGTGGCAAGGAGATGATGCGTTTGAGAATGGAACCAAAACAATGGTCCCCTCACATACCCACATGAAAGTGTTGAGGGTTTAGGGTTTTAATATTGGATTCTTGCCACAGGAAGCCTCTCGTATAAAAGGATACAAAGCTTCGGAAAAGGCAGCTCGCAGCTTCTACAAAAGCAGGGTTCCCTTTCATATCCGCAAACTAGTGCGCGTGTAATCTTCCTCCATACCCCCAAAGAACTTCCAGCACAATCCTCATCCATACCCTGAAAATGAAGCTCGCTCAATCCTGATGTTAGGGACCCAAAAAAGGTACCCGCTTCCTGTCAAATCCTGACTGCCTCCATGCCTGCACAATCGGCCGAGGGCGCCAAAATCAGGAGACTCCAACTTTCAAGGTCCTAGGCTTCGGGTTGCGGGTGTGTGGTTCGGGGCTCAGGGCTTAGGATTTCAGAACACTCGGTAGGCATAGAATTTGCGATTGCAGAGCCTCGTATCACCCCAGTATAATCCCAAGAAAACCCATATGTAACCTTATATGTTATAGTAGTTCCATTTTCTTTTCCATTATCCCAATGTAACCCCAATATAATCCCCTAAACCCTAAACCCTTTTTCTGCGAAGCACTGAGGCCCAAGGAGTCAGCACAGCACCTCAGCAAGCCTGTGCCAGCCTCTCTGAAAACCTGTGAGTTACTATATTGGGAATTGAGACACGCGCATCGCTCAAGGCAGGCACGGCGGGGCTTAGAGGTTAGGGTTTAGGGTTATCCCCTTATAATGGAGAATCAAATGGAAAAGAAAATGGAAAATGAAATGGAAACTGGTGGAATATGGCAATTTAAGGAACCTAATTTAAATTCTGTGGGTTTAGGATGCCGAGAATATATTGGGGTAATGGAAAATGAAATGGAAACTATTATAGTATATTGGGGTTATGTTGGGTTTAGGGTTTAGGGCTCAGGGTTGTTTCCGCGTTTGGGGGTTGAGGCTTCTTCTAAGAGGTGCTATACAGCTTCGGTGCTGCTTACGTATTGAGAGGTGCTTGTGGTCGAGGGCAATGACAGAGACTTGCAGAACCACGTCGACATTTCTGTGGGCCAGAATCAAACATCCGTAACCATTGTTGAGAATGTCACGACTTGCCCCTGTTGGTGTGCAAGGTGTTACTTTCAAGCTACTGTACAGGCCCTAAGTTACTACATGCATCTGGAATCCAAAGTGCCGTCACGAGGCCCAAGCCCATCACTCCATTCAACAGAAAACCCTGAATTTCTGAGGCTCTAAAGCCTTGACCCTACATTCTAAACCCTGAAACTGTAAACCCCAAAACCCTAAACCCTCAACGCTGCAGCTTAAATCAAGGGGAGGCTCCTCAGCAACCCTGGCCACCGACGAAGCGTAGACACGTGAAAGCTGGGTTCAGCACAAGGAAATCTCCCACAAGCCTGGGTCACGTGGGCTTTATAGGATTTAGGGTTTAGGGTGTAGGCTTTATAGAGCTGTACAGGGGGTATATGGGGACATAGGGAGAAATTGAATGAAAGCATTTTTGTCTAGAGGTGTATGGGGTCTAGGGCTTGGCAAGGTCTAAGGCAAGTGACCCCCCAAACTCACACACAGAAGTGACAGAGCACCTACAGGACCGTAGGAGGCTTCCGGACAATATGGGGTCACTTTCCAGGAGTCCTTATAATGAGGACTATAGTATAGCATCTGGAAGGCGTAGGCAAGAGCCTGCCTTTTGGAAACTCTCTGTGCGCGCGTGTTTGAATTTTAGCCTGGGGCAACATATCTGTCCAGCATTCTTTTTCTGTTTTGGGCTTGCAAGGCTTCATGGTAAACTCAGTTTCAAAACTGAAGAAAGCCACTCAAAGCAACCTTCAAACTTGACGTTACCGGAAAATTAAAGGTGACTACTGCAAAGCGTGTACAAAACTCAAGACCCAAACAAGAAGTTTTGCTGAACGATCTGTGGGCGATGTCTCCGATTCCGGGCCCACTTGACATCCCACAAAACCAAAAATGTTCACTCAGGGCCTGAAAAAAAAGATACCCATGATCTTATGGCATATGCAAAACTCATCTGCAAAGTAACCCTATCTAACCATGCATGGGCAAGTTCGGCTCAGAGGCCTACCAGAGGCAGAACGGTTTGCCACGTACTCTGAGGGGTTGAGGCCATGGAGTGGGGTGAACAATCAGCAGGTACTGTCAACATAGGATAAGTTCTGGACGTGGTTTGTGATTGGAAGGGTGAAGCTGACGGATATCACATTTTCCTTTCGAAGTGGCATCTTGAGACTTTGTGGGTCAAAGGATGGAAATGGGGGAGCAAGTTCAGCAGTTGGTCGCTCTACGGGATCCACAAGATCGCGACGGAGCACGACAAACAGGTTTTCGAAGTGGATGACAGCACGGAGGCCATTCCACTTGCAGGGGTTTGTCCGGCCAGCTACCGTACCATTATAGAATTGTGTTCAGGGATGGGTGGCATATCGCTTGGAGCTCAGGCCGCAAACTTGCACACGTATGCGTTTGTTGATAAGAGCCCTCTCGCGTGCGAAGCCATCAGGCTTAATCAAGGCCTGGCGATTCAGGGGGACGTCATGAGTAGACAAGTTCGGATCGGAGCGCACAAGCAGTGCCAAGGTTTTTCAAAGCTTGTCACGGCAGGATTTCCATGCCAACCTTTTTCAAGGCAGGGCAGTGCCAGAGAAATGGACGATCCAAGGGCGTGGGTTCTAGGAGGCATTTTGAAGTTCGCTTTGCACACTCAGGCATCTGGCCTGGTGCTAGAGTGTGTCCCCGAGGCGGCCGAATGCAGGTGGTTGAGGCAATCCATCTTTTTGCCGAGCGCATGCACTTTCAGGTGCAGACAATCATGCTTGATCTTCAAGATCAATGGATCGCCAAAAGGCGAAGATGGTGGGTGCTTGTCCTACCGAGAGGGGCAAGAGGCTGGACATTGCGGGCATGGCCGAAGCTTCCAGAGCCAATGGCCATAGGAGATGTCTTCCACGAGTGGCCTGTCTGGCCGCCCAATGAGGAAGTCAGCCTTCTGTTGTGCAAAGGAGAGGTTGCTAGGCTGGAGGACCCCAGGTACGGCAAAGACCAGCGGACATTGAACATGCGAGGTCAGGCGCCCACCTCCTTGCATAGCTATGGATGCGCCCTTGCCCCATGCCCGTGTGGGTGCCGCAGTGCTGCATTGTCAGAGGTGAGGTTGCTTCGGGATGGCTTGAGAGGGTTCTGGATTTTGTCACAAACTGACGGAAGGCAGAGGCATCCGCACCCGCAGGAGCTTGCGCTACTCAACGCCATTCCTCCAAGCTACAATCATGTCAAGCCACCGCGTTCCGCACTGTGCTTGATTGGACAGGTCGCTTCCCCTCTGCAAGCCTTGTGGGTTCTCCTCCATGTTGTTGAATGGGCGGCAGAAGAATTTGGGGGAAACAAGCCACCACCCTTTGAGGACGTCATTGCAACCTTTAAGGAGTGCCTTGTTGAGCAGATGAGAGCCACATGGGCCTTCCCTACCATGCATGCGCCCAGGGAGGTGTGGGTCAGGACAAGAGAGGGCGAGTTCAGATTGTCCGTCAGCAGGCCAGCCAAGGTGCAGGAGTTGATCGAGGCAGAGGAGACACTTCAGCACAGGTCGGGCACGATCCTTGCAAGGTTTCAGGGGTGCCAACTTGAGGCTGAGGCCTGGATACCGTGTACCAAGGATGCACCGTTGGAGCTTGTGTTTCAGCCCACCAGGCGCCAGTTGCAATTGCCGCGGCAGGAAAGCCAAAGCACTTGTCCAAAGGTAGAGTCCGCATCGCCGACTCTGGAGGCCAAGGGTCTGATTGGTTCGCTTGCAGAGCAGGTCACAGGGCAAGAGGTTGAAAGGCTCGCCCCTGCAGAGGATGTTGGCAGCGTGCAAAGCCAGTCCAAGCATGCAAAGCCAAGGCCCATTTCAGAACAGGCGTGTCCTGGCACAGGTTCCGCAGGCAGTTGCGTGACAGGTGCCCAGTCAAGGCCAGAGGTTGCCCAGGGCACAGGTGCCAAGGCCCTGCAAAGTGCACATTTGCCAGACGGGAAGCAGATACAGCCAGGCGCCCAGTGCATGCATCAAGCCGCAGGCGGGGCCAAGCAACGCACGTCAAAGGTCCCCATAGGATCCGTTGGCATCACCCTGGTGACGGACCAGGATGCTGTTGCGCTCACTTTGCCTGACAACATCACAGTGGCCAGCTCAGAGAAGCTGCTGGAACTGGGGCAATTGAAATCCGAGACCTAGGTACGCAGGCTGCACTGCAGGCAGATAGGGTTATAGTGCAAGGGGCAGTTCTCGATGTACGTGCGCGGCAACAGCTGCAACCTGATGGCATGACTCTTGGTGACGGAGCCATCTTTGCAGCAGTGGTTAAGCTAGTTGGGGGTGCTCCGCCTGGTTGGTTTACACTTGAGCCTGGGGTTGTTTCAGGGCTGGTTAAGCTTGCCAGGGCTCAACGCAAGCCCGTTCCTTTGTTGGACTCTTCGAGGCCAGGGGTCACTGGGCCTGTGTCAGTCTCACGGCAGACGACAAAGGTCAAGTCCAGGGGATATACCTTGATGGAATGGGTTTCAGTCTGCAGTCAGAAGCGGCTGAGGTTGCCAAGGTTGTCTGCAAGGTTTGGCGCAAGAGCCTTATCTCATTCGAATGCCGCCAGTGGTTCAGCCAGGAGGATGGAATCAGCTGTGGGGCAGTGGCAGTCGCACATGCAGCACTGGTGGTAGGGGGTCAGCAGGCCACATCGCTTCAGGCGCTGAGAAGGTTGCAAAGTTGCCTTATGCCATCTGGTCCGAGCACATGCTTGCATGCAGGCCGTGGGGGGTTGACGGCCAAGGAGGCACAGACCCTTTCAGAGCTACTCGTGTCCAAAGGCGTGCCGTCGGACAAAGCCGCAGAGAGGTCTCAGGATTTGGTCAAGAAAATTGGGCAAACTACGGTAGTTCAGGCACTTAATGCAAAGCAGCCTTGGCAGGCATTGAAGGCGGCGGCGTCCAGGCCCGGAACAGCTTTTCGCATCATCTCCCCAACGGAGCTTGAGGCTAAAATCAGGGAGAAGGCTGTTGAAGAACATGGGGCAGCAGTGCCGAACGGCGGTCGAAAGAAGCGTAGGCAGGTTGCTTTGAGCAAGGCTGCTGCTCCACTTATCATTGACCCCCAAAGTTTGCTCCTAACTGATGGGTCCTTTTGCACACAAGATGGGACAGGGCTGCATCAAATCCCATTCGAGGAGGTGACAAATGAGGCACATGGCCTGGCCTTTTGCACTGCTGAGCAAGCTCTGCCGTTCTTGCAAGGAGACCCGCTGAGCACGGACCCTCTGTGTTTGGTCACCACGTCAGAGGTGCCAACGGATATCACAACCAAGAGGCAGCATGTGCCTGTGAGATATCCGGTCATTTTTCAGCCCACACAAGAGCCGATCTTGATCAACGGCAGCCTCATCAATCTGGGGGACGAAAGTGTCAGCCTTGCCCAGGGCACAATTGCAGAGCCCACTAGCCTGGCCACGGGAGTCATCAAATTGGCAGTGTACAAGGATGAATACGCAGGTGACTGGAGCAAGTTTATTCAGGGACCAGTCAAGCACATTTTGCAGAGCATCCAATTACAATCTGCACTGGAGTCGCATGTGGGTTGGATTGTCCTGCATTTCATCCTGCAATCGAAGAGAAGATTGATGCCATGTTGCTCGATGTGTGGTCGCGTCAGTTCCAGACGCACAGCGGCCAAAGGGCTGATCCAAAGGCAGCAGAGGTGTTCACAGTGTTGCTCCGCGTCCCGCGTTCTGCTGTCGACTTGCTGCAGCTTATCAATGTTGCAGGAGTCTACGTTGAGCCACGCGCTGACTCAGGAGCTGGCAGCCACGCAGACTGGCGGGTGGTGTGGGTCCCCGGGGCGGGCAGGGATCAGGCGCGCCATCTCGTCAAAACGTGCCCCAAGGCTGTGGCTGTGACTCGTGTTGGCACTAAGTACGGTGCACGGGTCAAGGAGTGCGATGAGGCCTCTGTATTTGCACTTGTCCGCCCAGGCGTCGCCTTTGTACAGGCGAAGGTCTCCCGCCGCTTTCGCATTCATCCGTTGCCACACGGAACTCAGAGAGCGGACTTGATCAAGTTGCTACAGGGCTGGCAGTGGCAAGCCCGTCCCCTGCAGCCCGGGAGGGGGGATAGTAATGGGGCTGCTTGGTTGGTGGGTGCCGAGGCCGAACCGCCTTCGTTGGCGCTTGCAACAGGGGAGGGTTTCGCACTTGTTGCTCAGATCGGGTCCAATCTGCCAAAGCCCGAGGTCGATCGCACGCTTTATGCAACAGTCAAGACCAGGCAGTGCATCAGGCAAGGTGTGTCACAGGATGCCAAAGGTGAGGACCCGTGGACAAAAGGACCCGACCCTTGGGCCCAATACAAGCAGCCTCAACAGGTTCAAGCCACTCAGGCCAAATCCACCGAAGGCATGACCCGATTAAGTGCCATTGAAAGCTCATTGAAGCAGACGGTGCAGGATTCTGCTCACAAGCAGGTTGAAGCCGCAGTGCAGGCACAGGCAGCCAAGCAGAATCAGGCCAATGAGGCAAGGTTCGAGAGGTTAGAGGCCAGCCTAACTGAGGTTCAACGGCAAAACGCTAAATTCACAGAATGGGTGCAAAACGTCAACCAGCAGGTTTCGCGCACCGCCAGTGAGCTCGGAGACGTCCAAATGAACTTGTCTTGTCAAGCCGCAGCAATTGAGAAAGTTAAGACTGAGGTCCAGCATCAAGCCGCAGGTACCCAGGCAGCCATCAACAGCACGGTGCAGGCCACGCAGGCGTCATTCTCCCAGCAAATTGCAGCGCAGTTCCAGGGGCAGATGGAGCAATTCCAGTCGCTGCTGGCAAAGCGCAAGTTGGCCGAGTGACTAGGTCACACAGGCTGTCGCGGTGGGGCACGTGGCAGGCCTGCTTCTCTTGCAAGCCCCTTTCACTCTTTCTTCCGCCTTTTGTTGTGGTTAGGGTTGGTGACATCGGCCCAGTCGCTTCAGGTGCCAGGCAGGCCAGGGGTACAAGGACAGCCGCACAAGGAGGCTGACTGTCAATCGCCAAGCCTTTGTTACGATTTGGGTTTTCGGCAAGGGCACAGATATGGTGAGGCACGCCATCCGGGGCCAGACTCGGAGCACGGGCTGTTTACCATCAGCACGCCCAATCCTTCAGGTCTCAGAAGCAAGGAATCCCTTGTTGCAGATTGGGGGCCAGGGATCCACAACTTTTCAGAGACACAGTTGTCAGTTATCACTCAGCCATCGGTTGCAAGGCAACTCCGTTTCTGCGCCAAGCAGCAGGGTAGACAGTTAAGGGTTCATGTGGGCGCACCGGCACCGATTAGGTCAGGTTCACGATGGGCCGGGACATGGACAGGTGTCCTGGTAGCTAGTGATTTTCCGGGGCGAACCGTGACCACAAATTGGCCGAATGACATCCTGGAATCTGGGCGTCTCTTGCCCACGTATCATGACGTTCATGGGGTCCCTTTGACTGGGGTTGTAGTCTACGGGTATCCCAGCGGCACCACCTTTCCCAAGGCACGCGCCGCTACGGACGACTTGCTAGCTCATGTGACTCGAGACATTGTACTTGGCAGACAAGGTCCCAGGTATGTTGCTGGTGACTTCAATCATTCCGCTGAGTCATTGGAAGAGCTGGCGTTGTGGAAAGCATCTGGTTGGGTTGAAGCCCAATCTTTAGCATCGGCCCGATGGGGTCAGGAGATCCTCCCAACGTGTAAAGGTGCCACGCAAAGAGATTTTGTCTTTCTGTCGCCTGAGTTGGCAGCTTTGTGCAAAGCCGTTGCGGTACAGGATCATTTTGCGGATCATTCGTCCATTTTTGTCTCATGCGAAGCCCCATGGGGTAGGTCACAAATTAAGGCCTGGCCAATGCCATCAGAGATCCCTTGGAACTCCATCGATGTGGAGGCATGGCATCAAAGTACGTTGGATGTGCCTGTCAGAGAGCCTGATCCTACTCAGCACCTCCGAGCCATCGCCAAGTGCATGGAGGATAGTCTGGATGGGCATGTCAAGGAAATGCCGGGGCTTCGTCTTCCCACAGCATGCAAAGGTCGTGCCCAACAAATTAGGCCAGTCATGCAGCAGGCCGCGGCGTCGATGGCCAGGGTCAGCAGGAATGGGGAGGTCACTTTGAGGAGCGATCTGGTAGGCCGAGAGGTCTCAGCATGGTTCAAACAGCTACGCAGATTACAGAGCATGTGTCACGCACTGCGTGCAGACAATCAGCATGTCGATGCTCAGGTATACAGGGCTGAGCTCTGGCACAAAATCTCCATGTGCTGCAGCTTTTCGGGAGGCTTTCGCTCTTGGTGGTTGGGCCGACGCATACAGTTGCAAGGTAGTCCTGTAATGCTTCCATTGGCAGTGCCCACGCTGGAGGTTTGCGACAGAATTTTCAGTGATTTTCAGTCCAATTTCCGTTCATTCGAGTCCTGGCATAATCGCAACAGGGGACGCATCCTGGAGAGCCGCTACCAAACAGGTAGGAATCAGTTGTTCAGCGAGCTTCGCAGGCAACAGCAGGACTCAGTTGACACCATGCAGTGTGAAAGGAGCTACACCATTTTGGAGGTAGACTCCGGGAGCAATCAAGTTGCCCTTGAATGCCCTGCGGACCCCCGGGGTCATAGTACCTGGGAGTTGGAGGGAGCATTGTGTGAGGTTCATTCATTCGAGGGCCCGGTGTGCAGGATCGAGTGCACGGCAGGGGTTGTGGCAGGGCAAGAACTTCAACAACATCAGATTCTCACACGTGCTGATCACACTCAAGATGAATTCAGAAAACATTGGGAGCCCAGGTGGAATCGACATGCGGAGGTTCCCGAGGAAGCATGGGAGAGGGTTGTAGGTTTTTGTACAGCATTTTTGCCAAGACGCTCTCTGGTTTTAGAGCCCATCACGCCGCAGTGCTGGTTTAGTGCCGTTCGCAAGTACAAGGCCAGGGCGGCAAGGGGCGCTGACGGCATTGCCAAGTTGGATCTTTTGTCAATGCATCCGCAGTTGATTTCTGAGCTGCTCTATTTGCTGAACCGCATCGAAACCGGCGTGTCCGAGTGGCCGGCACAGATGCTCATTGGACTCATCATGGCACTGGATAAGGCCAACCATAAGCCTGGGCCAGACGCCTTTCGCCCCATATGTGTGCTCAGCATAGTGTACCGAACCTATGCCAGCGTTCGAGCTAAGCAGATGCTAAGGCAGATTTCAGCTTGGATAGACGCAGGGGCTATGGGTTTCTTGCCACACAGGGAAACCAAAGGCATTTGGATGGCAGTTCAGGCCGCCATTGAAATGGCAGCGCTCCAAGGGAGTGATATTTCCGGTTTTGGGGCTGACATTGTCAAGGCAAATAACGGTCTCCCCAGAAGGCCAGTGTTACATGCAGCTGAATGTGTTGGCGTACCACAGCCGTTAGTGCAAGCATGGTCAAGCTTTCTGCAAGGGCTCCGCAGGCACTTTGTGATACGGCATGAACTGGATGAGGGCATTACATCGCACACAGGTTTTCCGGAGGGTGATCCCCTCTCGACACTGGCGATGGTGCTTGTAGACCAGTGCTGGCACGTGTACATGGGTCAGTTTGCCCCAAGGTGCATCCCTCTCTCTTTTGTGGACAACCTCACTTGTATGGCCACCGATGTTGCCACCACAGCTCAAGCATTGGTTCAAACCCAGTGTTTTGCTGAGCTGTGGGACCTGGAGCTGGACCGCGACAAAACTTTCTCGTGGGCATTGCAGCCTGCTTCCAAAAAGGCTCTGCAGGCATTGCATCTGAAGGTCGTTGATGCGGCCAAGGACTTAGGAGGTTTTATGTCTTACGGCAAGAGGGTTCGGGTCAACCTGCATGAGGAAATGTGCAAGGCTATGGCGCCGGTATGGCGCAAGCTAAGGCTGTCGAAGGCACCCATTGCCCAGAAAATTGCGGCTCTACCTGCCAAATATTGGAGTAGCCTCTTGCACGGGGCAGCCGGTTGTGTCTTGAGTGAATCAAGGCTTTCATCTTTAAGAGCAACCGCCACCAAAGCCATTGGCATCAGCACGGCAGGGTCGAGCTCCGCGCTTCGTTTGGTTCTTGCGCCTGATATGACCTCGGACCCGGGGTTCTTTCAATTTTGGCATTTGCTCAACGATTTCCGTAGGCTGTGCAGGAAGTTGCCTTTTCTCATTGATCAATGGGAGCACTTCATGGCCAATTTCGAGGGGAAGCTGTATCCCGGACCTTTCAGCAGTCTTGTGCAGTTGTGCTCCAAGGTTGGCTGGAGTGTGCAACCACCTCTGATCTTCACTGGCGCTGAGTTGGGTTTTGATTTGTTCAGGGCCCCTAAGGATCTGGTACGGTATCTGGCCGAGCAAGCTTGGGCAGACATGGTAGCTAGACAGCACACTCACAGGAAAACGATGGGCGATTTACAAGGAACTGATCTGGCGCTGGCTCGACTGGACAGCAAGCGCTTGACCGCGCAGGAGAATGCCAGGGTCCAGGCAGTGCAATCCGGGGCCAACATTTCGAATCAGCAACACAGCAGGTATGACACCACAAAAGCTCCTTTGTGCTCGATTTGTGGGGAGCCGGACACTGTTGAGCACAAGATCCGTTTTTGCAGCAGATTCGAGCAACGCCGTAGTGGAGCAGAGAAGACTCTCAGTCAGTGGGATCACTGGCCAGCTTGTCTAACTCATCACTTATTGGCACCAGCCTATGTGGCGTGTCGACGATTGATGGTTAAATTGAACGAGCTTCCGCCCCAGATGCCCACAATGACACATGATTTTGGTTTCTCAGTTTGGCATGATCTTTTCACAGATGGAACATGTGCCATGGAAGGAGTCTTTGCCCTTGCTGCATAGGCGGTGGTCAATGCCACTCAGGAGTGCACTCTCGGCAATGGGCCATTGCCGGGCGCTTGGCAGACCGTTCCACGTGCTGAGTTGTGTGCTGCGCTCTTCGCTTTACGCTGGGGACTGCTTAACAAGGCCAAAGTCCATCTTTGGGCAGATGCCACTTATGTGGTTAACGGGGTTCAGGCCATTCTTCGTGGTGAGGATGTTGGCGATGAGGCAGAGAATTACGACCTGTAGGAACAAGTTGAGGTCACAGTCCACTGTTTTCCTGCTGGCTGCGTTCGCGCGACTCATGTGCCATCACATTTGGAACCGGAGTTGTGTGCAGACGCTTTCGAAGAGTGGGTCGCCGAGTGAAACGGTGCGGCGGACGCGCAGGCCAGTTGGGCCAACCGGAACAGGCCGTACGGATTCATGGCGGTGCATGGTGAGGCGCACAGAAATCATGAGCGGTGGGCGAATGCGATCCGTGAGCTCAGATCAGTGTACCTCAGGATTGCCGAGATCACAGGCGGACAGAAGGTGCAGCGCGAGCCCGTCGACACAGGAGTCGAAGGCAATGTTGTTTGGCAGGCACGGGACGCTGACATCCAAGACGTACTTTCAGTGAATTGGCAAGCTCAGTTGGAGGCCGCAGCGTGTAGCTTTCCAGTGTCGGCGTTGGTTGCTTTGATGAAGGCCATTTTGGCATTAGATCGTCAATCTGCATGGTTTGTACAGGTGTCCTGGCTCGAACTCACGTTCATGTTACGGGATAAGGGTTTCACATTTTGGCACAGACCGGCAGGGCAGTGGAAACCTGTTGCCGAAGGCTTTCACGCTCTACGGCCCACTTTATCCGGAAGTTGGGCCTTTGTGAGGGGTGCTGGCAGGTTCCTGTTCCGAGAATTGGAGCTTGACGAGTGTTGCTGTGGGGGTATCAATTTGTTTGATGTGGGGGTTTTCCCTTTTCAGGATGGGTTGATGTTGGGGGTTGATGAGGGTGTCTTGGAACAGGCCCGAGTTTCGCTGGCCAAGCTCACTGCTTCCAGGCCACTGCGCAAAGCGGCTGATTTCAGTCGACCCTTTTAGGTTGCGGCTGAAATCAAATGCACGCCATATGGACCGACCATCGGACACCAGCACTGCACTGCATCCGCTGTGCATGCTGGATCTAGAATTGTGCAATAACCATGCATGGGCATACTTTACACAATAGCAAAAGCTTGCCTGACTTGTCTCGGCCGAAGCAGCACGTAGAGGAGCGAAACTCCCAGAATACTGGCAGAGGCGATGGCAAACCAAGGCCTGCGAGACCACTCCAACTTCCGTCGCTGTGCCTCCTTTCACCATGGTTTAGGGTTTAGGATTCAGGGTTTAGGATTTAGGGTTCAGGGTTTAGGATTTAGGGTTTAGGGTCTAGGGTTTCAGGTTCAGTCGTTCGTAAGGAACAAGGGAAAATTCTATGTAGGGCTTACTGTACCACTACATTCTACTAGGGTGTACTTTGGCGTCAGTAAGGAATAAGGGAATATCTTATATGGGTTATAAAGGGATCATATTTCCTTGGTCTTGATACATAAGGATTACTGTACACAGGGATCATATTCGTTATTCCCTACTAGCCACCAGAAGCTTATCCGAGGGCAAAACCAAGAGCCCTAGTGCAGGCCGGTCATCCCAGATTCTTTAGCTGAGCCACAGTCTAAACTACTTAAAGGAGGTTAGATAGGGACGATTATCGGGCAATGAGAGGGGTGGGCTACAGTCAGCATTTCCCATATAACGGGCTTCTGTTTGGGAATCTATCCGGGACTTTACCACTACCAAAGGGGGCGCTGTGTGGCTTGATTAACGGTCCCTAATATTGACAGTAGATCATATATTTAGTGCATACCCCTATTTTCCCGTAAAGGCCCAGACTCCCCCTAAAAAAGCTAGCCCATGGTTCCCATCTTAGATTTCACGAGCAGCCTAGAGCCACGCCGTTTAGCGTGTTTGGGGGGCTTCGGGTTTAGGCTATTGTGTTGTGACATCAGAATTTGGGGTGTGGGCCTAGGGTTGAACATGAGGTCCTGGAGGTGGGTGAGGAACGCAGGAGGCATTGGGAACTTGCAGGGTTCCAACTTAAGTTTTGGTAGCTTTGTGTTTGGAAGCTCCATGGCATCCTCAGTGTCGCTCTTGCCAACATCGCTACAAGAATCATTGGAGAATAGCTGATGGCGTCTCCGGCCCCTGGGTAGCTAGTAGTACTGCACAGCATATGAGCCATAGTCTCAACTCGAGTCTGAACTCTTAGTATCCCCCTTTCTAACCCTTATAGTATCCCCATATAACCCCCTATATATATGTATATATGCCTCTTTCGGCACTTCAGACTATGGCTGATATCAAGAAAAAAACAGAGACCGGGGCCTATTACAGGGACATGGAACCCTTCCAGGAAGCCGCAAGGTGGGTCCAACCGTTTGGGGCTTAGGGGTTTAGGGTTTAGGGGTTTAGGGGTTAGGGGTTTAGACACGCGGATCGCACAGAGTGCAGGCACGGCAACGAATGTCCAAGTCAGTAGTTAAGGTCCCTCAATGCAGGTTAGGGGTTTAGGGTTTAGGGGTTGAGGCTTTAGGGCCTAGGGGCCTAGGCTTTAGGGTTTAGGGTTTAGGCTTTAGGGTTTAGGGGTTAGGCTTTAGGGTTTAGGTGTCAGTGCTATGTGACACTGTTCGTGCTCGCATGCTTGAGCTCATGGTTTAGAATGATGTAGTTTACGCAATCTGGGCCGATTCAATTTTATTTTGATTCTGGGGAAAAAGCAAGTGATGCACTTCGCGAGGTGAATCGAACTTGGCTCCTCCTTCTGCGATGGGAACAGCGGGAGCGTCAGCAATCCCAACAGCATGATGAGGTAGGACAGCAAGAATGACCAAGCCACCGTCCAGCGAAATGCTGGTGTGTCCTTGATGTAGTTCAGCCTCAAGTACCTGCAATCCCCCCAGAACGTTGTATAATCAACGATAAAGTTGCTAATAATTCCTGAAGGTTGCACTGCAATAGAAACTTACAAGAAAAACCTAAGGAAATGGGAGGTACAGGTCTGGTGTGAACAAAGAGAAGAGCTGACTGGACAGCAGGTTGGACAGCGGTTCACCCACAGCTTGGATGGTTTGCAGCAGGCCAACTACCAGAGCAGTGTTGCTCTCATCAGCAAGCTCATTCACCAAGAATGCGTAGACCAAAGTCGTCATTGCCTTGGGTACGTTCTTCGTGACGGGCTCCCCCAGGTAGAAATACTGATTTCGAACGACATCGAAGATTGTGAGGAATTGGGGGAATACATCCAGGACCACCGTAAAGATGATAGTGCCGAAGATTATCTTCCTCCAGGGCCAAAGACTAACATACAGACACAGTTATCCGCAGTGTAAAATTTGATTTGCCCCCTTCCTCCAGCTGACATTCAGCATGAACCTCTGCATGAACCAGCAACCAAGGAGAGCAAATAAGGTGCCAAGCATGTTTGCTATCTGCCTTTGCAGGTCTTCTGTGTGCGCCCACTCTAGCCCGACCCAGACGCCAGCACTTGTAAACATGCTGGATATGCTGGAGTTGTAGTAGATGTAGAGAGCCACGGCGCAAAAGGCCTTGCTCTCCAAGAGGTTCCAGGAAGCGCTGCAATAAGCTCGGATGGAAGCTACCGATCCGGCACCCTCCCGAACACAGAAGAGGCAGGAAACTGCCGTCACAATTGAGATCGCGGCAAAAAGGCCGATGAACTCCGGGTAGCTCAGCTGGTATTGCTGGTCGAAGCTGCCGGTGAACAGCCGCCCATTGAAGCCAAAGGCGGCAGTCGCAACAGCCGTGAAGTTCCCGACAACCCGAACCTGGTTCGACATTGGGATACTGGTAAAAAAAATGTGCTTCCGTATTCTTGACCTAGTTTGAGCCTTTGAAAAACCAGGCAATACAATAAATGGAACGGTTGGGAACCTGTTACTACCCAAGGCTCCCTAAGGATCCCGAAGCAAACAACAACGACCTGGGAACCATGTGCAGCGTGGTCTGCGCACTGCCCCGGTACTCCTCTGGCTCAGCCTTTGCCTTGGGCTATTCGTAGCGAATCAAGGAAAGGAAAGGCAAATAGAGGCTATCATTTATGCAGGGTTTCGGGCTGGGGATCTGGAAAAGAAATGGAAGCTGCTGTTTAGTTGAGTGCTTCGCGTTTACGAAATGGAAAAGAAAATGGAGACGACTGTCCAGGTTCAGGGTGTATATGGAATGGAAAAGATGTGGGAAATACTATATTTGTGGAGTTAAAGCCCAAACCCTAAACCCTAAAATGCCACAAACGACTGGTAAGTTGCGTACTCCACGAGCAGCCCCTCTGCAGCAGAGGTAGCAGCTGTGCAGCCCAACATGGCGAAGCAAAGGCAAATCACTATGGGGGAGTAGAAGTCCACCGCCTCTGGCTTTGCTCTGATACACATGAAAAAGAATGTATACACATATATATATATATATGTATATATGTGTATATAAATGTGGGTATGTATACATAAATGTATATGAACGTATACTCATAATATTACAGTCCACCGCCTCAGGGTTGCAGGGTGCCTCGTCCATCAGGTAGTGCCCATCCACTGCGCTGAAGCAATAGTATGGGGCAGGCAGGCCCCGAGACAACAAAATTATGAAGCTGGTGGCAGCCAGCATCCATCCGCCCACCATGTAAGGCCGGCGTCGGTAGCCGAACACTGGCCGGGAGTCACTGAGGATGCCCAGAAAGACTGAGAACATGATGGGAAGGGTGGCGACGTTTTGTGCACCCTTCATGATGTCGCTGGGCTCGTTGAGGTAACCCTCCAAAACGTTGAAGAGGATGGCATCTAAGCCTCCCACGACAAAGCCCATGGAGAAGAAATGCAGGGTCATACCACAGTTTCCCCAGTCAGAGAAATCGAAATGCAGGCCCCTACCGGCCTGAAGCTCACTAGATTTTTGCTTGTCCAAACCAGCTTCAGCACCAGACCTGCGAACGGTCTTCGGCACATCATCTGGTGAAGAGTTACTCTGCACCACAGAGACATCTGACATGGCTTAGGAATGAGAAACCTTGCTGATTCTCCTCTGCAGGTTTTTGAGCCAGATGCTGGGGAAAAGATTCCTAGCAGAATCTGGTGCATCAGAACGTCCACGAACTTCCTGGGACCAGACTTCTGCCTGCCTCCGGCATACCAGCGCAGAGTGATGCTTTTGCATAGGTCACTGCCCACGTTGTCGCTTGTCGGCAGCCAGCTAGAGTACCGGGGCAGAATACGTCAACCCATCAAGTGCAACTGGCACGTTTCTGCATCTAAGCAATGACAAACCTATTGCCAGAAATGCCCAAAATCAAAGGAACTGCTATCAATACAATAGCTCCAAACGACCCGAGCAACAGTCCGACTTATCAACCAAAAGCACCAAGGAATCCCCAACCCTACAGCATGTAGCCGACAGTCATGAAGCTTTCACCCCAAGCCCTAAAACTCTTACCTAGGACATCCTAGGACTATAGTCACCCGTAAGTAGATAGAATATGGGGTATATGGGGATCTTATTATAAAATACCCAAAGCCATATTCTATCTACTGAAGGGGGACTATACATATAACCTTAAGCTGTTTTTGCTAACTCTCTCGCAGCCATTCCTCGCTTCGCCTTGCTGCACGTCAACCCTGAAACGACTCCTGACACATTGAAAGGGGGGCTTCGGGACCCCACGGATACGCAGGAATTCTAAGCATATATATATATACACATCATTACAATAATATATGTTTTCAGCCCTTAATAGAACCCCTATTGTAGAGTATATTATATGGGTGTCCTTAAGGATGACAGAGGGATCATCTTGGAAAACTCCTAGTTACCATGACTCAACTTTGTCATGTGCAAGTCCCATGAAACCCTTGTGCAAAGCAGTCCCTGTGCCTACATGAGCATGCTAGCGTCTGCATAATCCCCAACTAGCCCTTTGCATAGCCCAGAGGAAATCCTGACGCAAACCCGAGATGACATAATCCCCACGTGACCCTTTGGTGATTAGACCCTAAACTCTCAACCCTAAACCCTAACACGCTTTTTGCATCCAGCCTGCAACGCAGTCCCTCAAACCTTGAACCCTAAACACTTGAAACCCTGAACCCTAAACTGTACTAAACCCTCAGGCCCAAAACTCCGCCTAAACCATAAACAGTCACTAAACCCCTAAACCCTAAACCCTATATATCCGCATATAACCTTATATAATCCCTATATAACCCCTACATCCCCTTTAAAGGCCTAAACCCTTGAGGAACAGGGATCCCGGCCCGGGCTACGGGGCGCAGGCAGCGACTGGTTTGCCGAAGCGGGATGAAAGCCCGCTGCATGGTCCTCTTAGGATTTGGCATGGAAAGGTTTAGGGTTTAGGCTTTAGGGTATGGCTTTTATAGGGATACATGGGGATGAGATGGGGTTATACTCGGACTACATTAGGATAATGGAGAGGAAGATGGAAACTACTCTTTAGGATTTAGGGCTGAGGGTTTATTACCCTAATAGTGGAGAATCAAGTGGAAAAGCAAATCGAACATGAAACGGAAACTGGTGTTCTTTGGGGGTTTAGGTTGCAACCTTACGATACATGGGGGTTGGCTTTGCTTTGAAGGAAGTATAGGGTACAGGGTTTAGGGATTAGGGTACACATTTCTACTTATGCATACCCCAATGTCCATCCACAGCGCTTGTGATCTCTCATAACGGGGATTACCCTGCGTGACCCCAAGGATAAGGTGGGATTTTTGGGTGAGTCAAGGGTGCCCTTCCGGGAATTACAAAGAAAACAGCTATCAAAAACATTTATGGTTTAGAATTTTGCGTTTGGAGTGCTGGTTTGGAGGCTTTCGATATCCAGAAACAAAAGTGAGAGCAGCATTACGTAGGGGATGTTACGGGGTCCATTTGGAAGGCCTCTTATGGGATGTCTGGGTTTAACGCTTCAATATTCAATAAGCAGACAGACAGCACCAGCTGTGCCCACAGAGTACTGGCAGAAGGCCTCAATTGTAAGGGAGCCATCCGAGCAGAACCCACCATGATCATACTTGAGCAGCTATGATAAGATGAAGCCCCCACATAGAAACATGGATGAAACAATACCAGCGGTGATCTGAAAAAGGCTTAGGCTGCGAGGGGGTCCAAATGACTGGCAGTGATGGCACGACATGCTCAGGCGATAGGTCAGGACAAGTACGCTCGCCACAGCTGGGTCTAGAGGATTTAGTAAATGTTTACGGCCACGCACCCCTATAACGCAAAATATCCTGCAATCCCCGAACCTGAAATGAGTCTTGGTGATTCCCACGCAAGGGAACTTGCACTATTTCCCATCTTTTGCAAGGACCCAAGTGAGCTGGGGACCTTCTGGACAAAAAATACTGATGAGCCTGAAAAAAAAACGATGCATGTAGTATAAGGCCTAAGCCTGAGCACCCTGCGCAAAGATGTCAGGAGCGAGCGTCGGCTAAGCAAGCTAAGTCTGCAGCACTGCTGATGCCAGTAACTTCCAAAATAATACCAACAACGAAACGGCTCCAGAAGACATGGAAGGCTCCCCTAGTGGGAAATGCTGCTTTGACGGACCCATGTCCTATCCAAAAAGCTGACAGGAAAGATACGCGGAAGCTTAAAACGCGCTGGAGCCGAACGTTGCATGCAAGGCACTGAAGCCTTAAAGACTGCATGCTGGGTTGGCCCCTAAAACCCTTTGAAAAATATTAATATACAGGGTCCCCTATTAAAGCCATCAGGGAAATATTGCATATCCCAGGGGCCTACCCAGCATGGCTGCGGGAACTTCTGGCTAGACGCTTGCCTTACGGTCATGCGCACTCTGCACTAGAACTTCTACGAACTGCAAAACTGCTTTCTGACATCTTTCGCGACCGACCTCACGTTGGAAATGATGTGTACTCCTGAAGCTAACTTCTGCTATCATCGTTTTGCAAAGTTGCTGGCCACTCTTCCGCTGCAAGGTGACATGAAGGCTCTCCGCTCAAGAGCTGCTTAGCACAAAAGCACGAGCAATGAGAAGCGCAACAAGAATGTTAAGATTCCATGGTAAGCAATTCTCGTCCCCGAAAGCTTGCCAGGGGCTGTTTCTTGGGGAAGGCCAAACCGTGAATCCTGGTGAATCCTGGCTCTTTGAAAGGTCCAGACTTCCCTACCTTCAGCCACGAAACCACATCTCCAACAGCCCCGAAGAACCTGGAATTTTGCTGAATATGCCGGAAGATGGTTGGCCAAGGCATGCCAGGGCCATTGCATAGCAATTCCATAACCCATTAGACTAATTGGAGACCATCTTCTTCATAACCCACCATGCGGTCCCTCTTGGGGCCTCCTTCTGATGACAAGCCTGTTCGTGTGAGGGGAGGGTGCAAAGGCAGACTTTGAGACATACCACCTCAGTCCTTCCCGACAGCAAACATCCTCCACCTCAAACCTGTAAGCCAGTAACCGGAGAACCCTACACAACCGACGCCGAAGCCGAAACCCTAAACCTTACTCTCGTGCTCAGTTGGGAGTGGGATCCCTACCGAGGTCCCTATGATAACCTCTACAATACGCAGCCAAAATCCTGAGCCCTTGAACCATCAAGATGAGATGAATATTACAATTGCTTAGGGCCCAAACTCTCATTTTGCCGAATTCCTTAATCCCAAAGAGCTCTCAAACAATTCATGATCTCCTAAATGCGACGTAAGTGTCACAAACACCCTAAACCCTAAACCCGCCACCGTAAGGCCACAAGGGCTGGAACTTAGCCCAGGTCCGCACTTGCTCCAAGTGCTCAACCTGGCTGTTTCGCAACAGAACAACTTCAAATTACCACAGCCACCCCTATTGCAGGGTTTTTGATTTAGGGTTTGGGGTTGGGGGCTGTAGTTTCGTTAGGCCTGTGATAAACTGCTATCTCTATTAATTCCTTAGGGCTATACTGCAACAAAAACTAAACCTACAGCCCTATTGCAGGGTTTAGGATTTCGGGGTTAGTTGAAAATCACCTCCCCCCTAATTTGCAAACCCCCCACCCCTAATACTAAACATTACCTAGATATTATAATATAACACACTGGGAATATGGGGCGGTGGGGCGTTTGTTTAATGCTAGGCGGAATGGGCGAACGATTCTACAGGGATATAGGGTCTCCCTTAAAGGGGCTGTATAGAAAAACATATGAATATCCAGGGTCATATAAAGTTGTGGAGCCCGGTTGGTACCTTAAACCCTGGGCAGAGGGAGTTTCAATCCCATGCATCCCTATAATTCGCGCAAATGCCCCTATAAGGCACCCCACTTTTGGCACAAACCCTAAACCCAAACCACAGACCCTAAATCCTTGACCCCAAGTCCTCAATGCCAAGCCATAAATGCCTAACCCTCACCCTAAGCCCTAGATCCTCAACTCCAAGCCCGAAACCCAAATCCAAGACACGAAACCCTTAATCCAAACCCTAAACCCTAAATCCTTAAACGCAAACTCTACAACCCTCAGTCCCCAAAACCTGAGCCCTAAAACCTGAAACCATGTGGCGAAGGCAACCCGCTTTTAGAAGAAACACCCCTAAATCCCAAACCTAAACACTAAATCCTAAACCTAAATCCTAAATCCTAAGTCCACCTCCTCCCTATAGGATCCTCAAGTGCCCTACAGGTTGACGAATTCTGAAGTGGGAGCTTTTGTGTCATCCTTCATAGGGAGCCCCAGAATCCTCTTCTAATCCCAATGGGGTTTAGGCTTATGGCCCTAGGGCATCTCAAATTTGAGAGCCTTGCTGGTGCTTAAGGCAGATCCACTATGACTGGGCAATCACGAATCCTAAGCTGCAAACTTTCAACGACCTCA